GGCGTATACTCTCTACTACAAACCTATAGAGTCCAATGGGAACCAATCCTTTTATTCCACGTCAGTGCTGTGTTGGTTTTTCCCCATTCTTATTTCGGGTGTCTGTTTCTTGCTTGACAAGCTTGGCTACGTCACAATCCAATATGGAAAATACAACGATTGCTGGATAGGAAATCACAAGGCAGCCATGATTGTATTTGGGATTCCAGTCGTGGTCTGCCTGCTCTTGTCACTGACCAGTTTAGCCATCATCATTTCCCTCATTCGAAAAAGCGTAGCTTTCCGTCATCTGAGTACAACAGAATACAAGGGCGAATCTCGACAATTTCTCATATGTCTGAATCTAACACTTCTCATGGCTCTCAGATCTGTGTGTTACTTCATCGCTCTCTTTACTGAAGTACCCTCCCTTTGGGTGGTCTATGTCTTGGCTCATGGCTGCCAAGGTTTGTTTGTTTTCTTGTGTTTTGTCGCACGCAAAAGTTTAGTTCTCAAATTGGTGGCGAAGTGGCGCGGATTGAATCGAGACTCATCCATCAGATAAATTCTGTTTTTCTCAACAGTGATTTATAGAAACGATGACAAGAGGAATGTGTGTTCAAATCTTGGCACAAGACAAAGATAAGTTGAACGAATGAATGATGTACGCTGATCATTGAGCAGATATGACTTTTAAAAAAATGAAGACCGTTTGAAGTGTGAGACTTTTCTTTGCTCTTGATGACTTTTGAATTTACTGCGAAATAAACTGACGTCCAGATGGAGAACTATTTGGAAAGGCCTCAGTCTTCAGGTGGCCTAAAATATAAAGAGTGCCATCTTGTGGTGACGTTGTGAACGTTACCATGACTTTTGAATTTACTGCGAAATAAACTGACGTCCAGATGGAGAACTATTTGGAAAGGCCTCAGTCTTCATGTGGCCTAAAATATAAAGAGTGCCATCTTGTGGTGACGTTGTGAACGTTACCATGACTTTTGAATTTACTGTGAAATAAACTGACGTCTAGATAGAGAACTATTTGGAAAGGCCTTAAAACAGTACTTAGTATGTGACCGCTTAGAAGGAGATCCCTAAAACTAGGTTTGGAGTATTGAAAGGAAGCATTATCTTTGCTCTTTTCTTTTTCAATGACAAAAAACAAAACAAAAAAGAGACTGAGATCAGAGAAATGAGTTTTCGAATATCATTTTACATTATTGCATCTGCTTCAAATGTTTAGCCTTACATTTTTTTGTTCTTCTCTTTTTGCAATGTAAGGCTAAAAATTTGAAGCTAGCTGCAGAAATGTATAATGATATTCGAAAACTCCCTTTCTACGATCTAAGATTCTTTTTGTTTTGAATATATTTAAACGTTTTTCATGATATTGTCAAAGGTGTGAGTATTGCTGTTGTTGCTGTGGACGGTTGTTACCGTGAGTTGTTAGCATTGTTAGTTGATGTATATGGTATTGAGATTAACTGTGTAGCTGTTGCTATGTAGTATTTATTGGTGACGTTTACGGGTCTCAGGGATTACTTTTTTGGTTCCTCTGTAGTGTTTATTAGGGACGTTTTTGGATCTATGTAATGACGTGGTCGTTGCTATATGATGACGTGTTCGTTGCTATATGATGACGTGTTGGTTGCTATATGATGACCTTTTGGTAGCTATGGGTTTTAGTGTTAGTGTTTCTTTTTTGTTTAGTTGATTTTAGTTTTAACCAGAGATGAAGACAGTGTGCTCGAGTTGTTAAGAGGTTCCCGTCAGTGAAGCAAGACTTGAAGACAGTGTGCTCGAGTTGTTAAGAGGTTCCCGTTAGTGAAGCAAGACTTGAAGACAGTGTGCTCGAGTTGTTAAGAGGTTCCCGTTAGTAAAGCAAGACTTGAAGACAGTGTGCTCGAGTTAGTAAGAAGTTCCCGTTAGTGAAGCAAAACATGAAGACAGTGGGCTCGAGTTGGTAAGTAGTTCCCGTTAATGAAGCAAGACATGAAGACAGTGTGCTCGAGTTGGTTAGAGGTTCCCGTTAGTGAAGCAAGACATGAAGACAATGTTATCTAGCTGGTAAGAAGTTCTCATTAGTGAAGCAAGACATGAAGACAGTGTGCTCGAGTTGGTAAGAAGTTCTCGTTAGTGAGTTTTAGACATTTTCATGGATTCATGTTTGTAAATAAGTGCGGATACACACATCTAAAGACCACGAATATTAAAGTAGAACTTTGGTTTCACGCATATGTAGGCTAATATATTTGCCCTTTTATGTTTGATGTCTTCTCGTGCTGAACACACACGTCATCACCGCACATGCGCAATACTGCTATTGCGCCAGCCATGTTGTACAAGATCAAAAATGGGCTGGTCCACTGCTCCGGCATCAAACAGAAACTCGTTCATCCTCCCCCTAGACAGCGACGAGGCCGCGACAGACAATTCCGGCTGATAAAAACAAGAACAAAGTACAGGAGCTCCTCATTCCGACAAATAGTGCAGCGTTCCCCAAACGGTTGTCCGGGGACCGGCACCGGTCCGCAAGCCTTACGTTACCGGTCCAGAGAGCATGAATATTGATGTTTAAATCGAAAGAAAATGTAATTAATATATCTGGCACCGGTCCCTGGTGCAGTTTCGAAACTTGTCTACCGGTCCGTGAAACTTAAAAGTTTGGGAAACGCTGCAATAGGGGACTGGAACAAGCTTCCAAAAGCAACAGTTGAGGCGGCTACACTCGACACATTTGTGTCTATTGCCTCCTGTATTCCAAACCCCCATTTCGTAACACCACTGCTGAGTAGCCCTTGCAACCAGTGACGTATCCCTTTGAAACCCATACACAGTAACATCGCGAACCCCTTTGAAACGTAGGAGCCAGAATGATTAATTCATTGATCATGGGTCCTCAAAATATAGAAGAAGAAAGCATCTGAATGATATGGTGCGGAATAGGAAAGGTATCAGAGATATTCCAAAATGTTCTTTGTAATTAATATATGTAAAATGAATTGTGTATATTTAACTGAGATATAAATATGTGTTTTCAACAATAAATTGAAATTCACTCATTTCAAGTGTTCATTAAAAGCAAAAGAGAAAAAAAACAAATTTTATGATGAAAAATGTTTATTGGTGACACAAAGGGCATCCAGTGGGGGCAACACTATTTAACGTGCTGGGCCCTTATCTCAAAACCAAAAAGACATTACATCATTGACTATTGGTATATAGATTTAAAAAAAAATAATTTGTATCATATATTTTACCATTTTTCTTATATACATTTCTAGGGCGAGGAAAGGAGTGGGTAAATTTTTTAATCTCCAAATTCGCTTTTATTTTAGTTGTTAACTTTGGTAAAGATTATAATTTTGAAATAAATACATACATGTTTAGCATTACCAAAGATGCAGTTCACGGGGGTTTAAAAAAAAAAAGGGGTGGTGGCTGTACATTAATTATTATAATGCATCCAATATCTCAAAAACGGACCCAAAAATATCGTTCATATGTATATAATTTTACAAATATATTTGTCACGTTTCCAGACACTATATTTAATATCTATTTAGTTCGGGGCAGAGGGAAAAAGGTCAGCAATTAATTTTTTCATGCAAATTTTGTTGTTCTTTTAAGACGGACAATTTTAAGAACATGAAAATTCTTATATAGACACAAATTTGAAAAAGCATAACATTAATTTTACAACTCTCCGTATATACAGTTACCGGGCTCAGACACATTTGGCGTGATGTACAGTTTGATGCTTCAAATTGTTTTCAATGAGGACTTATATTTTGTTAACAATTTATCGAATTATCATCCCCCCCCCCTTCTAAAATACGTTTAGCGCACTTTGATACTGGGAGTAGCTCATTTCATGACCGCGTCAGGATTTCCAGATCTGATCACGTGACGGACACGAGACTTTGGATTTAGACGATAATATAATATGCTCCCAAGAGTTTCCACCCGTGCCCGTTATACAAGTCAAGTCTTTGTGTAATGTATATTCTATATCCATTTGCGAATTGATTCAGTAGACGACTTGGATCTGTTTAATTATCACCACAAGGCAAAGGGCATGATAGCAAAAGACAAGGGCATATCGCTCGGCCGGAGGTAGCACAGCAACAATTGAAGGAGGGATTCGGGCTGGCGCGATTATTGGGCGATTTTTTACGCATTTTATTTGAACTTGACCTTTGGTCCGAATCGTTAAACATGTCTGCAGGTCAAACGGTCATCACCTATTTCAACTTTAAGTATTGATGGTCGTTAATGCAAAGCTGAATGTGTAAGTTCAAATCAAAATAAAATGAAGATGTTAAAAAAAAAAAAAAATTGAACTTAAGGGGAAAAAAAGGCAATAAAACAATTAATAACAAACTAAATTTCTAAAAAGTTTATACCATTTTAAAAAAAAAAAAAAAAGTAAAAAAAAAAAAAAAAATGAAAATAAGAGGAAAAAAAAGTAAAAAAACCAATAAACCACCACTAAAATTTCTAAAAGTTTATACCCATTGGGGGGGGGGGGGACTATAAATAAATATATGTTTCAAATATAATAAATATTTGTTTGATAAACGTTTGCAACAAGGGCCGATCTTGACCAAAAGGCAATTTAGGTGCTGGCCTCAGAGCCTGTCAAAAAGGGATCCATTTTTTTCAACTTGTTTTTTTTTTTATCTTGTACGTACTTTTAATAACGTAATGTAAAGTATTGATGAGCATCTCGGAATCTCTGATCATAAAGTAGAGAATTGGTGGGAGAAAAAACCAGGAAGGAAATCAAGGGGTAAACTCTTCCTAGTACCGTAAACATCAAAGGTGGTACGGTGGTACGGTGGTACGGTGGTGCGGGGGTACGGGGGGCGGTGTTTAGAGACTTGTCCTTTGGTGACAGAAGACATGAATAGAAAAAACAAAACATCGGAAATCTCCGCTAATTTGGGTGTTGCCTAAGCATAAAAATGTTTGTGGTTTCTTTTTAATACGTTCACCATTCCTGATATTTAAAAAAAAATGGGGGAGGGTGCGGGAGGGGGGGTGCATGAACGTACCTTTAAGAAATACCTGCTCAGTTTCAACTCTCGAAAGTGAGTCCCTACAAAACAAAACTAGACGTCATATAGACTTTATGAATATGATTTAACGCCTTAATATATATATATAAACCTCTGGCTAACCTTTTTTTTTATTTTTTCATTTTTATTTGCCAATGGAAAGGAAGGAAAATTGGAGCTGCCCACGGGGCCTCCGCAAGTCTTAATACGGCCCTGGTGGCATCATTTTTATTTAGAATAAAATCTTACAACTTTCTACATTCACAAAAACAGAAACATATGAGAAAATATGAAAAAAACAAAATGTGTCGCTATTCTTGCTAAACAAAATACCGACAACTGACAAATTATTCATGGAAACAAACGAGTAGTTCATCGTAACCATGTCATTCCCAGGTCTTAAAATCAAGTCAAATCTTCCTCCTGTCGATAAATCGAACCTCAAAAGGCACCGGGGAAACATCCAGACCAAACACGTACTTAACCTCAGGAGGGGAGGTGACGTCCCTCGGCAACATCTGGAACCTCTGGAACAAGGCGGCCGCGTACAAGAACATGGCCGTGTTGGCCAAACCCTCGCCAAGGCAGACGCGGCGCCCGATGGAGAATGGAATGAACTGTTCCGGAATTTTCAGTTTTCTGTCGTTCGTGATGAACCGTTCCGGTTTGAAGCACATGACGTCAGGGCCCCAGATTTTCTTGTCGTGCAGGATGGAGTCCAAATTCGGGATAATGAAACTTCCTTTGGGAATTTTAAACCCTCTCAGCGTCGCCTCCTCGGGGTTGAGGTGGGTGAACCCCAGGCCGGCCACACTGGCCAGCCTCTGCGACTCCAAGATGAAGGCGTTGAGGTACACAAGCTTTGTCCTGTCCTGGATTGTCGGGTGACGCTCGCTGCCGATCTCCCTCTCGATTTCCTCGTGGACTCTCTGCTGCGCGTCTTGGTGTGCGGTTGCGTACAGCAGGAGCCAGAGCAGCGCCGTGCTGGTCGTTTCCGCGCCTGCCAGATAGAGGTCGCTTATGGTCTTGACGATGTTTTCCTCGTCCTCGAGCGTCAGTTCGCCGGCTTTCGTTTTCTTGTTTCTGCCCACCAAGTAAGCCGCCACAAAGTTGTTCGCCGTGTCCGCGTCTGGGTTATCTTTCCTCATTTCCCTGACGAATTTTTTTAATAGGAAATCCATGACATCCTTCGCGTTAGCCGCCAGGCGCTTGGCGCCGAAATAATCCCCAGGCAGTTTGCTGAGAAACGGGAGAAAGTTGATGTATTCGCTGGCCGTTTGACCCCCGACGAGAATCCTCAGCTTTCTCATGAGTTCCTGAAACGTCGGGTCGTCGTACTCGAATCTCCGACCGACGACAAATGCGCTGATGACATTGGCCAGGGTCATGTTGGTGTTGACCCTCATATTCGTGGGCTGCCCATTTAAACTGACCACCAGCTCTACGAAGGCCTCGACCTCGGCTTGGATCAGTTCCGCCAGGAGATTTTTGCCCATGCCAAAGTTTCTGAGAATGGACAACGTCACCGACCTTTGTTCCTTCCAGTTTTGTCCGTTGGCGAACGTTATTCCTTTGTTAAACATTCCAGTCGCCTGCAAAAGTATAAAAAAAAAAACACAAAAAAAAAAACAATCAACCAGTCAATCATCCTGATAACCAAACATAATGTACAGTGATGCCTCGGGTTACGAACGTTTCGGGTTACGAACCGAGTTCTGGAACGAATTAAGTTCGTAACCCGAGGTACCACTGTATTTTGGTTGGCATTAAATGGTCAGTTTCAACCTGATATTTAGTACATCATTAAATTTCTTTATTAAATAACAAGCAAAAGGCTACATGCTTCATGAAGAAGTCTAAATGTGTTGTTTTTTTTTATACCTCGTCAAAGAAGAAAGGGGCTCTGTCTGAAAACTCGTCGGCCTTTTTCACAAAAGCTTCTTTAATGACGTCATATCCGTTGAGAATGACCAGGTGTCTTCCCGCCATGTTTAAACTGGAATAAAATAGATAGCATGGCAGTAATAATAGTTTCAGTTGCACAAACTTTTGACGTGGGACACAATGAGCTACCCGTCACATGATATAAAATAATGGTCTACTTTAGTTACAGTTAATCTGATCTCACAATCATAACACTTTATTAACACAATCTCTACTCATCGCAGTAGCTATACTGGCAGTAGATGTTCCGTTGGCACCTTCTTACAAACAACGAATTCTCCTTCTTTATTTAAAAAAAAAAAAAAAAAATTCTCTGTAACAGACCAAGTTGGCTGTGTCGAGTTTACACACGACACTATCATGTCAGAATGGCGTAGTAATTTTATTATAACATTGAGAGTTCCGAGAAAAATAGGGAACTAAATTCTAGAGCGTAAGTAGACCGCACGCTTTAGTAGAGCGGTGCAGTACACGATTTTATCTGACAGGGAGCAGACCTGTTTTATTTTCTCTCATATGGATTATTGAAGTATTGTGAATCAATTTTGATGTGGAATATTGAATAAGTGTGTGATAATTGCATCCTAGAATTATTGCAGGATATCTTGGCAAGGCTTATTATTGTTGTGTTAATTTATATAATAAAGTACAGTATAATTTCATTGGACGCTGACAATTCATTGTGTGAGAGGACAGCTAAGTTTGAATTTGAAGAGTGAGAGAATTAACGATGGAAGTGATAGCGGCATCCATGACAGTGAATAAGGCATTAGTTAACCATGCTCTATCGGCAATACAACAGCATGTGTTACATTCTCTTTCTTATCTGATTAAGATTTTTGTTTAATGTAGAACTATCAAACGCACATATTCGGGTGAGGGGTCTGAGATTACTCTCTTAAGACCCCGGCTAGTACATTGGCGATCAGCTCCATCTGTTAAAATTTGCCATGTAACATTTTTTTTTCTCACGTAGGGCTCTCCCGCCGCCCTGACCTCCCTTGAAACCTCTAGGGAGGGAGACACTGGGTCAACAGATGCGCTAGAGAATCTGGGACCAGGCTGCAATGTCGGCAGGTAGGGTCCCTGTAATGATTTAGCCTGTTAAAATATGTGCCAACGGGAGAGTGCTCAATGCGCATCTTATGGGTGTTGAATGTTACACGTCAATATTAAACGCAACTCACCGATTACATGCAATATTTCAAAGAGACAATCATTGGCGATTCCATGCAGGCCCTACATCGCCTTTATCTCTATACTGTGTTCTTGGGTGTTAACGCTCTTTCTAACATTCCATTGTGTTTAAATTTTCGCGAACTTCGTATCTCAAGCTATGCTCTCATCAAGTATGCATGTAATATTAAAATATTGTACGTTAAACAATTGTATATAAGAAGATGTGTATGCTGTATATCAACGCCCATTTCCGTGCAAGGTGTTTGGTTTGGGTAAAATTTATGCGTGCTTCAGCGGGTACAGCATGGTACAGCATGGGCGCCCGCAGAAAACTTTCTAGGGGGGGAGGGCGGTCAAAAAATCGATTAACTTTCCAGGGGGGGGGGAGGCAATTTTTTTTTAGTAATGTTTTAATGTAGTTTTAATTTACTGTAGCGTATTTGTATGGTGAACGAACGGAGAGGGCATCAGCTTAGTTACTTTCTCTTTATTTTCTCTTTACTTTAATACATTTTTTGTCTATTTTTGTCTAAAATTCTTTTATCCAATCAATTCAGGGGGGGGGGGCAAAGTACCCCACCTTGCGCCTACCTGCGGGCGCCCATGTGGTACAGCGTATACAGCGGGTACAGTGTGGTACAACGGGTATAGCATGGTACAGTGGGTAAAGCGTGGTACGGCGTGGAACAGCGGGGTGCAACATGCTTTCCATTATTACCCGGCTAAGATCTGGTAACATATTCTACTTTAAATTCAAGAGATTTTGCCAATAAAATATTTGAACATAACTTAAGTTAATATGGTGTCAAAGGTCATATTTATTGGATCTTTTTACCAGAAGATCTCCCCAAATCGTTTGTGCCATTCCTTGAACTGGGGTCGCACGTCCGGCTTCAGGGTGAACAAATGACCAACAATGGGTAAGGGTTTCGTTGGGTACGGGGGTAGCTTGTTGTCTTTTCTTGAGAACCACCAGTAGATGACCAGCAGGACGGTGCTGGCTATCAACACAGTTGACCAGTCCATGATGTCACACGACGCGCTGCAGGATAATAACAAACATGTCATACTCGATAAACTATTTATCTCTCCTTCGCTCTATCATTTCTAGATTTCTCCCCCACTGATATTTAGAAAAACAGAAAATGAAAACTATTTGTAAACGCTTTCTCTTATGTTGCTCTGTCCGCTGTTAGTGTGTGTGTGGGGGGAAAACTTGCATCTCAATTTTGACCCACTACATGAGGTCTAACTGGGGGTGATGATGTGTACACTTACCCACCCCGGAACAATACAAACAGGCTATAAAGGAATATAAATTAATGATAATAAAGACTAAAAAGTACAAAATAAATGAAGATAAACAAAAATACTTTTTGTTTTATTTAGAAATAACGCTTTTCCGAAAATGAATTATAACTAACTATCAAATAATGTCCCTCAAAACTTCAGAGTTGTTACAGCCCATGAACTCAATGTTCTTTGCAAAGCGCAAAGACATGCACGCAGCGATACCGCTAATTCCATTCCGCTTGTCAAGATCACTACCGAAGGGAGCATACAACAAGTAGTGCGAGGTAGTTGTGAGATCCCGTGATTATATAACCTGTATAAAAAAAACTGTTTTCTCACGTGTTTGCTGACAACAACACAAACGTATACATGTGTCCAACATTATGTGTGTCATGTCATGCGACATGAATGTATTTCATTGGCGTGTCCAACATTCTGTGCGTCATGTCATGCGACATCAATGTATTTCATGGGCGTGTCCAACATTCTGTGTGTCATGTCATACGAAATCAATGTATTTGATGGGCGTGTCCAACATTCTGTGCGTCATGTCATGCGACATCAATGTATTTCATGGGCGTCCCACGGTTTTTAGTCGTGTGACTGTGACAACTCTGAAGTTTGGGGGTTAATGTCCATGGTACAGCCTACTGCCAAGAACAGTTTTGGAAAAGCGAGTTTTTGTTTAAAGCATTTTGTATTGTCTTAAAGAACTGCCAAAGCCATTCTTATGTTAATACGTTTTAATACTGTTGTGTTGTGGTTGTTGCTGTTTTTTTTTTTTTGTTGATTTTTTTGGGGGTGGGTTTGTTTTGTTGTTTTTTTTTTTAACCACAGGCTGCAAAGGGTGTTTGAACGAATTTCTTTAGTTAGTCAACAGACTTTGCTATTTTTTTTTTTTTTGTTTATTTTTTTGGGGGTGGGTTTGTTTTGTTGTTTTTTTTTTCAACCACAGGCTGCAAAGCGTGTGTGAACGAATTTCTTTAGTTAGTCAACAGACTTTGCTAGTGCGAGCTGCATTTACGCAAAATGTGATAATTTACACGCTGGGAAAGACAAAACGACCTGATGCCAAGCGGATGTAACCTTTTTTTTTTTGGTTTCGATGTTTTTTGAAACCTTCTCAATCATATGTTAGGCGATGCCCGCCCCACAACTCATTTAAATAGTCTACTGTCCATTTATCTTTTTAAAGAAGTACGGGTACACATGAATAATGTTTGCTTTTAAGTGTTGATTGATACATATGTAATTATTATTATTATTATTATTATTCTATTATCGTTTTATAGCAGCCAGTTAACATCTTTTGATATCTGAATCGACGGTGTGCCGTGTTTGGAGCTAGTCATTTGGTCCAGATGTGCACAGACTGTCTACTTTATCAATCTGGTCAACGTATTGTTACAGAGAGCCTGTTTGCATGGTGTTTCTCGTGTGTGCCCTCTGATTGACCCCGCATGAGACGCTGTGTTCACAAAGGGGTGCGGCTTAGGTCTTTGAAGTGGCTTGTTTACAATCGGCTTCCAATTACGCATTGGGTAGATTGTTTTCGGGTAATTTCTGGAATATACTCCTTAACCCGAGATATGTAAACAACACGTCATAAGCCCTTCTCGAAGCATCTTACTCTACATATATATAAGGGATTGACAGGCACGACGAGGGAGATTTTTCACCTAGATTTTCTTAACATTACGAGGCGTGTTTTATTCTTTTGTGTATTTGTGTGCTCCTACTTATATGTGTTTATTCCGCATTATTTATTGGCATCATTATTTCTAATTGTATTAACTGTGTACCGGTACGACATCTGCCATACTGTAAGTTGAAGATTGTAATTTTATTTTATTTTATTTTGTAATTATCTTAAGACTTAATAAATCTTAATTAATTGTAACTAGAAACTGTTTTGGGTCGTATCTTTAATATTGTTGATTATATGGTATCGTCCTTTGTTAGGCACTGTTTACAACGAGCCAATTAAAATTAAAATAGGAGATTAATTTCTCCCAATACAAGTCAGTGCGTAACAATTTGGGTTGCTCGTCCCGGATATAGCGGACTCTATATTATTATTTTTCTCAAGACCCCAATTCTAACAAATTGGGGGCATCGTCCGCGATAACCGAATCCATATTTTATTCTCATTAGACCCCAATTTTAACAAATTGTGGGATTTTCCGAGGATAATTTTAATCCATAATTTTTATTACACCAATAATAAATTGAGTGTTTTTCTGTGGATTTTGACCCACTGTTTACTTTAATATACTCAGATTAATTTTGAGTACACGATACCATTTTACGACACCAACAACAGAGCTGGTTACAATTTTTTTCATTAGTGTGTGCACTAAGCTTAAATTTTTATAAAAATCATTGTTATATTTTGCCTGTGTCAAAATGGATTTTGATATTGAAAACCCATCAGTAGAGGCATTAGACAAATGTTCTAGGAAGGAGCTATTTTCCATTGCTAAAGCTCTAGAAATAAATGTAGCTCATTCGGCCGTAAAAAAGACCATACGAGACATGATCATCGTTCACTTTGTGGATGAAGACATGTTATCTGAAGATGAACTTGCCTCAGTCACACAACCGACTGATCCAAGTATGGAGCTCCAACTAAAGCTCAAACAAATGGAACTAGATGCCCAGAGAGAAAAAGAACGTGAGCTTAAACAGCTGGAGCTAGATAAAGAACGTGAGCTTAAACAGCTGGAGTTGGAAGCACAGAAAGAGCTACAAATCAAATTAAAAGAAATGGAAATAACAGCCAATTTGGGAGCAATGGAAAATAGACTCACGGCTCCAGCCGGTCAAGGTTGCGATGCAATTAAATTTGCAAAAGTAATCCCTAAATTTTCAGAAAAAGAGGTTGACCAATATTTTGCACAGTTTGAGATAACTGCCCAAAATTTTAAAATTCCTGAAACTATGTGGTCCACCTTACTTCAACCAGCCTTGACCGGAAGGGCATCTGAAGTCTTTGTGTCCCTGAATGCGGAACAGCGCGGGGACTATAACCTAGTAAAATCATTAATACTTAAGGCTTATGAATGTGTCCCCGAAGCATACCGTAAAAAGTTTAGGGAACTGTGGAAACGTGATGGCCAGACTCATGTTGAGTTCCTCCGGGAAAAGGAACGGCTCCTGGACAAGTGGCTGCACGCAACCAACACCGAGACAGACTTCAAGAAATTCAAGAACCTCATTCTGATGGAGGAGTTCAAGAACTGTGTTCGTACTGAGGTGCGAATACATATTGCAGACCGTGGCGAAGGTGACGCACATACGGCAGCAGTGTTAGCCGACGACTTCACCATCTCACATCAACTTTCCAAGAATCCATCTGACACCAAAAATGACAGGCACAATAAGACAGCTGTATCAACTTACAGTAAACCTCCACAAAAACCATTCAAGCCCGGTACGAAAGAAATTGGTGCAAAAGACACATGTGCCTACTGTAAAAAAGAAGGACATACGAGGGATGATTGCTGGAAACTCAAGAAGAAAACTGAGAAGACCACACATCCTGGTACACAACACAAAGTCTCCGCTTGTACGTCTCGTCATACATCTGGAAACACATTTTCAAAATTCAAGAGTTTTTGCTCTCCAGATGTCCATACAAACTTCAAAGAGGTTTGTCACGACTCATCAAAGAGTTCCATTATGAACAATAAGGCTAGTTTTACTGACTCCAGCCAAGTTCCTGCTTCGACTGCGAGTTTTATGAGCTTGTCGCCAAGATCCTTTTGCTCCAAGAAGAGGTCTACCTCCAGAGGGCGTTTTACTGAGGACTTGTGTGCAAGTTTTGACGACTCTACCCAGAGTTTTACTTCCTCTACCCTAGCCGAATGTTCTCAAGACTCCAACAAGAGTTTACCTACCAAGGTCCAAAATTCTACATCAGAAACTACTGATGTCATACAAGACTTCATGCCTTTCATATCGGAAGGATTCGTATCACTGCCAGGTGATTTTTCCAGTCTACAACCAATCAAAATCTTACGAGATACAGGTGCTTCACAGTCCTTGCTACTTGAGGGTATACTTCCCTTATCTGAATCTACTGCTACTGGGAGCAACATCCTGTTACGAGGTGTAGAGCTGGGATGCATAGATGTACCTTTACATCTCATCAACCTAAAATCAGACTTAGTCTCCGGACCTGTGGTTGTGGGTGTCCGACCAACATTACCATTGGACGGCATCTCGTTGCTGCTAGGCAATGACTTAGCTGGTGGGAAGGTGATAGCCGAGCCCATCGTTACTCATGAACCTTGTTTAAATGAAAATCAGGAAGAAGATCAAGAATTGTATCCAGCATGTGCTGTGACAAGGGCCATGAGTTCCAAGATCTCCACAAAAGAGATTTCACAAAAAGGCAATAAAATTCTTCCTGAAATTGACCTGGGAAAAACATTTTTTGCAAGTCTTAATGAAGAGGCTAGTAATTACAAGACTCCAACTCGAATGCAACTTATTGAAGAACAGAAGAGTGATCCAGAAATAGTCAAACTTCGAGAGAACGCTTTGACCCAAGAAGAAGCTGAACAATTCCCTATATGTTATTACCTTCAAGATGACATACTTTTGAGGAAATGGCGACCTCCAGACGCAAATGCTGACGAAGAATGGAGGATAGTTCATCAAATAGTAGTTCCTACCCCATTCCGGAACGAAGTCCTGAACTTAGCCCATGACTCACCACTTTCAGGGCATTTGGGAGTAAAGAAGACATATCACAAAATCACGTCGCACTTCTTTTGGCCCAAAATCAAGAAAGATGTGGTTGAATACTGCAGATCATGTCATACTTGTCAGGTTGTAGGGAAACCAAATCAGAAGATACCAGCAGCTCCTCTTCAACCCATTCCAGCATTCGAAGAACCTTTCAGTCGCGTTATTATAGACTGCGTTGGACCTCTGCCAAAGACAAAATCAGGTCACCAATACTTGCTGACAATCATGTGTGCGTCAACAAGGTTCCCAGAAGCTATTCCTCTTCGCAATATCAAGACTCCGAACATCGTCAAAGCCTTGACGAAGTTTTTTACATTGTTTGGTCTTCCGAAGTCTGTACAGTCTGACCAAGGAACCAACTTCAAGGCTGGAATATTCAAACAAGTGATGAAACAGTTGGGCATAGAACACTGCTTGTCGAGTGCATATCATCCTGAGTCACAGGGAGCACTTGAGCGATTCCATCAGACGCTGAAGAACATGATGAGAACCTACTGCCTAGAACAAGAGAAAGACTGGGATGAAGGCATCAACATGCTACTGTTCGCCGCAAGAGAAGCAGTTCAAGAATCACTTGGATTCAGCCCCTTCGAACTGGTGTTTGGCCACACGGTTCGCGGTCCCCTTAAACTTTTAAAAGACACGTGGATGTCATCGGCACCCACGGAAGGACTTCTTGACTATGTCCAAAAATTTAAAACTAAACTTTTTAATGCCGTTAATTTGGCTAAATTACATTTAAAAGATTCACAATCTAAAATGAAAGTTTGGTATGACAAAAAGTCAAAATTCAGACAGTTTGCTTCAGGGGACAAAGTGCTTGTGCTGTTGCCGATACCAGGGCAAGCACTACAAGCTAGATATTTTGGTCCTTATGTTGTTGAGTCCAAAATCAATGATTTAAATTACATTGTGTTAACACCAGATCGTAAAAGAAAGAAACAGTTATGTCACATTAACATGTTAAAAGAATATTTTGATAGAAAATGTGATGATCATTGTCCATCCTCAGAAACAAATGTTAACACAATCTCAACTGTAACTTCAGTACTTAAAGAAAATGTTACTGAAACCTTTGATAGTGTCCCAGAAAAAGTTGGTAATTACAAACTTAAAAATTCAGAAATACTGGCCAACTTAGATAAGAAACTAGGACATTTGTCATTGTCAGAGAAGGATGTTGTTAAGTCTGTTATTGCAGATTTTGTTTTACTCTTCCCTGATGTACCTAATAAAACCAACATTGCTGTACATGATGTTGACATTGGCAATGCAGTTCCGGTCAAGCAACACCCCTATAGGGTCAATCCGGAAAAACTTGAAATAATCCGGTCTGAAATAAAATACATGCTTGAAAATGATATAATTGAACCAAGCTCTAGTAACTGGAGTTCACCATGTATTTTAGTCCCAAAGCCTGACAAAAGTTACAGGTTTTGTACTGACTTCAGGAAAGTGAATGCATTCACAAAGACTGATTCCTTTCCGATTCCAAGGATAGACGATCTTATAGATCGAATAGGTGATGCCAAATATGTAACCAAGATAGACTTACTATCAGGTTATTGGCAGGTTCCTCTATCTGACAGAGCAAAAGAAATCTCTGCTTTTTGTACTCCAGATGGTTTATATCAATATAAAGTAATGCCGTTTGGAATGAAAAATGCCCCAGCTACATTCCAACGTCTTGTAAATAACATTATTGCTGACCAGGAAAATTGCAGCGCCTATATTGATGATGTAATTATTTACAGTCAAGATTTTTCAACTCATGTAAACCAATTAAGATCTCTGTTTAAAAAATTTTTGCAGGCAAATGTAACTGTAAATTTAAATAAATGTGAATTTTGTCATGCAACTGTGGAATATTTAGGTCACATAGTGGGTCAAGGTCATGTAAAGCCTGTTCAAGCTAAGATAAATGCTATTGTATCACTTCCACCACCCACTACTAGAAAACAGTTAATGAGATTTTTGGGAATGGCAGGTTATTATAGAAAATTTTGCAAAAATTTCTCAGTTATTGCTTCTCCTTTAAGTAATATGTTAAAGAAAAATGCAAAATTTCATTGGTCAGATGCTTGTCAGGAAGCATTCGAAAACATTAAAAATATACTTGCTAATGCTCCTGTTCTCATTGCACCAGACTTTAACAAACAGTTTAAATTAGCTGTAGATGCCAGTGATGTTGGCATTGGTGCAGTTCTTTTTCAAGAAGATGACCACAATGTAGATCATCCTGTCTCTTATTTCTCAAAGAAATTTAACTCACATCAGAAAAACTATTCCACTGTAGAAAAAGAATGTTTAGGTTTAATTCTTGCTCTCCAACAATTTGATTTTTATGTCAGTTGTTCTTTACATTCAGTACTTGTTTTTACTGATCACAATCCTTTAACATTTTTGAATAAGATGGTCTCCAAAAATCAAAGATTGTTAAGATGGAGCCTATTTTTACAAGAATATAATTTGGACATCAAACATATTAAAGGCAAAGACAATGTCATTGCAGATACTTTGTCCAGAAATTAATTTTCACTTATGTTATTGTTTATAAGCTGTTAAGAAGTTTTTTGTCTAATATTTTGAGAGTAAGAAATGTACTTTCTTCAATTTTAATGGAAAAAGAATTCCATTTTTGAACAATGAAATTTTTTTCTTTTAAGAGGGGAGGTGTTATAGAGAGCTTGTTTACATCATATTTCTCGTGCGTGCCCTCTGATTGACCCCGCATGAGACGCTGTGTTCACAAAGGGGTGTGGCTTAGGTCTTTGAAGTATCTTGTTTACAGTCGGCTTCCAATTACGCATTGGGTAGATTGTTTTCGGGTAATTTCTGGAATATACTCCTTAACCCGAGATATGTAAACAACACGTCATAAGCCCTTCTCGAAGCATCTTACTCCACATATATATAAGGGATTGACAGGCACGACGAGGGAGATTTTTCACCTAGATTTTCTTAACATTACGAGGCGTGTTTTATTCTTTTGTGTATTTGTGTGCTCCTACTTATATGTGTTTATTTCGCATTATTTATTGGCATCATTATTTCTAATGGTATTAAATGTGTACCGGTACGAGATCTACCATACTGTAAGTTGAAGATTGTAATTTTATTTTATTTTATTTTGTAATTATCTTAAGACATAATAAATCGTAATTAATTGTGACTAGAAACTGTTTTGGGTCGTATCTTTAATATTGTTGATTATATGGTATCGTCCTTTGTTAGGCACTGTTTACAACGAGCCAATTAAAATTAAAATAGGAGATTAATTTCTCCCAATATAAGTCAGTGCGTAACAGTATGCACAGCTTGCATGTCTACTTTATCAATCTGGCACAGATGTGCACCGATTGTCTACTTTATCAATCTGGTCAAGATATGCACAGCTTGCATGTCTACTTGATCAATCTCGTCCAAATGTGCACAGCTTGTCTACTTTATCAATCTCGTCCAGATGTGCACAGCTTGTCTATGTTACGCACTGTCTTCTATTGTGAGAAATTAATCTCCTATTTTAATTTTATGGCTCGTTCAAACAGTGCCTAACAAAGGACGATACCATAGAGAAATACAATAACAAAAATACGACACCCAAAACAGTACCAATTACAATTAATAAGATTTAATTTAGTAATAATACAATTACAAAGCACAAAAAATATAATTACAAATCATCAACTTACAGAATATTGGAAAATCTTGTACCGGTACACAATTAATACAATGTGCCAATTAATAATGACGAATTCAAACAGATATAAGCACACCAAGAATAATATACGTCTCGTAAAGTTAAAAATATCCTTCTGAATCTCTCTCTCTCTCTCCGTGTCTTTCAATCCCTTTATATATGCAACGTAAGCACTGCCTTCCAGAAACTACTCAGCATTTGTTTACGTTTCTAGAACAAATCGCGATCATTCGACAAGATACTAGGAGACAGACTAACCGTGTTTAATTGGTAGTCGGTAGTAAACATGATACATCAAAGAGATAAGCCACGCCCATCTATGAACGTAGCGTGTGCTAGGTATCTAATTTGGGGTCGAGCAAAGTTCACGCACCGGGAAGGCGTCATACCTAACAGTCTACTTTATCAATCTGGTCTAGATGTGCACAGCTTGTCTAAAACGGTTTTCTATCTTCCTTTTTCAACACAGAGAACTAAACGAGAGGAAGTCCATCTAAGATTTGAAATATCCTGAACACTTAAAAAATTGAATTACATGTACAAATAATAAAAAATAATTATATTTCATAATTTGGTTACAAGGCGTGCAAAACTCAAGTTACTGATATGTATTTCACTGGAAGTGGTATGCAATGTGATCAGTGGTGTGCTGACAATCAAGCAATAATCTTTCGATACTCGTCGGTTATAGAATAGACGCCACGCTATTTGCGTAATCTGTTTTATTTTTTACATTCTTAAAAACCGCTTAGATAAAATATACTACATTTATCAACCGTTTTGGTAGAATATTCTACATTTAACAACCAGTTAGATAAAATGTAATAAATTTATAAACCGTTTTGGTAGAATTTGCTACATTTGACAACCGGTTAGATAGAATATGCTACACTTATCAACCGGTTTGCCCGAGCAATGACCAAACCGGTTCCAGGAACCTGCTGAATTAAATTCTTAGACTTAAAATGTCAAAATGCTTACCCTTCAGACCTTGTACACTGAAATAAATATGGCGTGGTACGGTAAGTCGTTTAACTCTAAAAGTCTGCTTTTGTGGAACCATGGCCTTCCTTTAGCTCAGTTTTTGACCTTTGACCTAACCCTGTTCTAGTTTTCGTATTTCCAATTATTCAATGCGGTGGTGTAAGAGTGAGTGAGTGTGTATAGAACAGATAGATAGAGAGAGAGAGAGAGAGAGTGGGTGAGTGTGTGTGTGGACAGACAAACAGAGAGAGAGAGAGAGAGAGAGAGAGAGAGAGAGAGAGAGAGAGAGAGAGAGAGAGAGTGTGTGAGTGTGTGTGAGTGTGTGTGTATAGAGAGAGTTGATATGTGTGTGTGTGTGTGTGTGTGTGTGTGTGTGTGTTGTGTGTGTGTGTGTTTGTCTTTGTGTGTGTGTGTGTGTGTGTGTGTGTGTGTGTGTGTGTGTGTGTGTGTGTGTGTGTGTGTGTGTGTGTGTGTGTGTGTGTGTGTGTGTGTGTGTGTGTTCGTAATGTGGGCTCTCAATAGATTAGACTGGGAGCGCTGAGCGGTTCAACTCAGTCGGAACTTTTTTTTAAGTCAGCACCGGAAGACCGCAAGGAAATGCTTTGTAAACATGTCTCCATGAAGAGCCTGCGGTCTTCATCACAGTACTTGCTGAGTGTTCCCAGTGTGGATAAACACAGAAAAAAGTCGCACTTTTGAAGCGATAGCGCCAAAAGTATGGAACAGTTTGCCTCAATCTTTGAGGGGAATTGTAAATGCTAAACAATCTTTTAAGAAACAATTATAATTTTTTTTTTGTTTACATTGATTTCGGAGGACCAGAGGCGCCAGAGTGCAGTGAGCATGCTAAAATGGCATGGATACCGGCGCGATATAAATATCAATCAATAAATCAATCATTTTTGGTCTGCTGCATGGTAAAGAAACGTCTATGTCCACCATTGCAGAGAGATGGTAAAGAAATTTCTATGTCCACCATTACAGAGAGATTGTAAGGAAATTTCTATGTCCACCATTGCAGAGAGATGGTAAAGAAATTTATATGTCCACCATTACAGAGAGATTGTAAAGAAATTTCTATGTCCACCATTGCAGAGGGATGGTAAAGGTAAAGAAATTTCTGTGTCCACCATTGCAGAGGGATGGTAAAGAAATTTCTATGTCCACCATTGCAGAGGGATGGTAAAGAAATTTCTATGTCCACCATTACAGAAAGATGGTAAAAAAAGCTTCGCGTTTGTTCGTGTGGATCTCTCTTTGTGGCGGCGAAATCTTCGGAAGGCTAATTGACCCACTTCCCGTTATTCCATCTAGCTGAATATGTTCACGTTGACTCGTTGCCGATGACAACACATTCTATTGACTTTTCAGCCTCATCCGCAGGCCTCAACTAAAAAAAAAATCAGTTTTTCCTGTTTTTCAATGGGGAAGCTGACTGGCCATCTTCCCGTCATCTTGCTGAGCTGAAACTGGGCCCATTGACTCATTTTCACGACATCACATTTTCAGCCCCATTCCCAACCCTGTTTTCAAGGGCAAGTTGAATGAAATCTGATTAGGCCAATGGTTGCGTGTTTTGGTGTGGAGATTAATTGTGTAGCTGTTTGCCATGTGCTTTGTATTTTTTGGCGACTTTTAAATTGAAATATATCTTCGGTACGTTAGGTTTTACAGGCACTAAGTTTAATCAAATTCATTTCCATAACAAAAATCAGTTGCTACAGTCACATAAATGATAAATCACGTAGAATTACATAAATGCAAAAAACAAAAATGCTTATAAATTTAAGGACTTTGTTTCAGAGGTTGTTTAATTTCGCATTTTTATAAGACGTAGCAGACGTTTAATTTTTAATTTTTTTATTTTAGCTTTTGTTTTCTTTTATTCCCAGCCTTTTCCGCAATGTTTTTTTTTTTTTCATCTAGCTAGTTACCGAGGTAAACAAAGATGGAAAACTCTTTGTTTGATCTAGCTAGTTACGGAGGTACCCAAATAAGGAAAACTCTTTGTTCATGTGGCTAGTTACCGAGGTAACCAAATAAGGAAAACTCAAAAACTGAATTATTCTCATATTCATTTATTTTTTAACAATAATATTTTAGGGGAGGGTGCATTTAAAGTTACGGAGTTTATTTACGAAACTCTATGTCGCTCTACGATGCTCCATTTATTTCAATAAGAATTACAAGTTCTTCCCTTCTCAAAATTTAAAATTCATTCTTACTTTTTGTGTAATGGCAAAAAAGGGGGATTTGGGGGGGGGGGGGGGGGGGTGCCAAGACTTAGTTGAACAATTCTTACGGTTGGCAGAAAATTGAAAAGTTTGAGAAGCCCTCTCATATCTTGCATTCCTACCATACTGAGAGATTCTCAATACAAGTTGATGATGTCTATTTGAGATTTTACATACTTAATACATACTATACATTTATGTTTAGTTTTGTTTTAAAATTTTTAATTTAAAGAATAATATTATTTTGGTTTAAACGATGTAAAAGAATTATATGTGTCTCTACATTTATTCCAATCTCGAACTTGGATGGTAAAATTGTTTACCTTGCAGAAGTCGTCCACTATCATAAACTGAAATAAATCTGGCGTGGTTACTGTCTGCTGATGACTCAACGTCTGTTGTTGTAGTGGCGCTGTGGTGACCTTGTACAGGACTAAGTCAACTCGACCAATGCGGATGTGGAACCCACCATTTCTACCTTGGCCTCCCATTTCTGTATGTGCCTTGAACTTTGACCTGTTCTAGTTTTCTGTTTTAGATCGGTGTTCCTGCTGCTGTTTGAAATTGTACAGAGATACGACACATTCTCTCTTTGTCTTCTCTCTTTATCATTCTTTCTCTCTCGTGCTCTCTCTCTCTCTCTCTCTCTCTCTCTCTCTCTCTCTCTCTCCCTTTCTCTCTCTCTCTCTCTCTCCCTCTCTCTTTCTCTTTATAAGTTCCCAACAGCGGTGTACTCTTTTTCTCTCTTTGTCTTTTCTCTTTCTCATTCTTTCTCTCTCGTGCTCTCTCTCTCTCTCTCTCTCTCTCTCTCTCTCTCTCTCTCTCCCTTTCTCACTCTCTCTCTCTCTCCCTCTCTCTTTGTCTTGATAAGTTACCAACAGCGGTGTAATCTTTAGCTTTCGGGAAAGGGGCTCATGCAGTGTTTTACTATTGACATTTACGGGCTACATGACTGTTCAGTTCTGGTAGAGACATTTGATAAATTGGTTATTTATCACGGCAATAAGTCGTCTATCGCATAGCACACAGAGCCACTTTAGGCCAATCTGGCACGGTGAATAGGGCCTGGTGCCTGTGAACCTGTAAATGCTTACAATATTTGGAAAGTTGACACAGTGAATAGGGCCTAGTGCCTGTGAAGCTTTAAATGAATAACAATATGTGGAAAGTTGACAACAAATTCCCACAAAAATCAGCGCCATTTTATTCCAAAGACAAAAGTCAACTTTAAAGACTGTCTCCACGGACGTCATTTAGGTAAAGCAGGGAGGGGCATTTGCCCCCCTCCCCCCTGAATTTCCAGGTTTTATTTAAATTGGTATGTATGGTGGCGCCCCTCGTAATAAGCAACTTAACAAGCCGACCAAGATTTGGTTTTGTCCCCAACCCCTGAAAAAAACTGAAATGACGCCCCTGACTGCCTTTCTCATATAATTACAGAACAAGTATCGGGTAGGTCTATAACAAGGCTTATGAACATTTTTATTGCCATGGATCCCTAATGCCGGTACGTCTTGGAAAAAAATTTGTAAAATGCAAATAATAAAATAACAAAGAATCATATATTCTTGAATTAATCTTCAATTAATCTTCTTTTCGAGATCTGATTTAAACTTAAATGTATTCGATTTTTCCCTTTTATGTATCGATTACTTCATCCCTAGCTATAGCGTTGGTCATTGGAAAATATAACATTTTGCATAGCATTGTTCAGACTTAGAATCTTTCTGAGATCTCTGTTATGAGACTGAGAATAAATCTCTGCCAGGGGTATGCAAGCCCAAAGATTGGACTTGGTGCAGGCGATTGTAACTTTTTGAAAATTGCAAAAAAATCAAAAATTGAAGTCCCTGGTTGTCTTACGGGTTGTCTCACTGGTTGCCTCATTGGTTGTCTCACTGGTTGTCTCATTGGTTGTCTCACTGGTTGCCTCACTGGTTGTCTCATTGGTTGTCTCATTGGTTGTCTCATTTTTTGTGTCATTGGTTGTCTCACTGGTTGTCTCATTGGTTGTCTCACTGGTTGCCTCATTGGTTGCCTCACTGGTTGTCTCATTGGTTGTCTCATTGGTTGTCTCACTGGTTGTCTCATTGATTGTCTCATTGGTTATCTCACTGGTTGTCTCATTCGTTGTCTCACTGGTTGTCTCACTGTTTGTCTCATTGGTTGTCTCATTGGATGTCTCACTGGTTGTCTCACTGGTTGTCTCACTGGTTGTCTCACTGGTTGTCTCACTGGTTGTCTCATTGGTTGTCTCATTGGTTGTCTCACTGGTTGTCTCACTGGTTGTCTCACTGGTTGTCTCACTGGTTGTCTCATTGGTTGTCTCATTGGTTGTCTCACTGGTTGTCTCACTGGTTGTCTCACTGGTTGTCTCACTGGTTGTCTCATTGGTTGTCTCATTGGTTGTCTCACTGGTTGCCTCACTGGTTGTCTCACTGGTTGTCTCACTGGTTGTCTCATTGGTTGTCTCATTGGTTGTCTCACTGGTTGCCTCACTGGTTGTCTCACTGGTTGTCTCACTGGTTGTCTCATTGGTTGTCTCATTGGTTGTCTCACTGGTTGCCTCACTGGTTGTCTCACTGGTTGTCTCACTGGTTGTCTCATTGGTTGTCTCATTGGTTGTCTCACTGGTTGCCTCACTGGTTGTCTCACTGGTTGTCTCACTGGTTGTCTCATTGGTTGTCTCATTGGTTGTCTCACTGGTTGCCTCACTGGTTGTCTCACTGGTTGTCTCACTGGTTGTCTCATTGGTTGTCTCATTGGTTGTCTCACTGGTTGCCTCACTGGTTGTCTCACTGGTTGTCTCACTGGTTGTCTCATTGGTTGTCTCATTGGTTGTCTCACTGGTTGCCTCACTGTTTGTCTCACTGGTTGTCTCACTGGTTGTCTCATTGGTTGTCTCATTGGTTATCTCACTGGTTGTCTCATTCGTTGTCTCATTGGTTGTCTCACTGGTTGTCTCATTGGTTGCCTCACTGGTTGTCTCATTGGTTGCCTCACTCGTTGTCTCATTGGTTATCTCACTGGT